GGATGGGTAGAAGCCTTTTTGCTTGGTTGATTGCTTGGGTTATATCTCGCCCACTCGATGTAGACGGTAGCCCCAACGACTTTGCGATGCGGATGAAACGCTTGCCAGGGAGCTTGCTCGCTCCGACTGGTGCCCCAAGAACACGAAAGAGGCCTGTTCGGTGCGACCCTTGACGCATTGGAAGAGAGAAGCCTTGTCTCTGGTTTCGTAAACCTTTCGTGTGATGGCTGCCAGCTCCAGATGAGGATCTACCTCTTTCATGATGCTTAGCAGGTCGTTCTCTTTGACTAACTCCTCGATGAAGGTGCGGAAGCTGGCCGCGGATGAATTCGGTTTATCAGTCATCAAATCCATTGCCATTCATTCGGACGCAAGTAGGAAGTGATGGTTAAGGGAATAAGGTGTCGAGTTAGACAACGACTTTTAGTCTTCAATAACGCCTTCCCTGGGGGCATTTATTAGTCGCCGTTTGAACAAAGCCCTCATGTAACCTAGAGACTTCCAGGCCCGATGAAAAGATGAGCCATTTCGAGGACCGTTAGAAAGGGCTCATATTGGGTTGAGTGTATAGTATGTTCATGGGGTTCGATGTACTTGAGCCTCATAGACCGCCGAGTGCCTGTGTAGACGTCAATTTATGATTGCATGGGCCGAAGCCAGGTCCCCAGGATCAATACACATTGTCCCATTTTTTTCGTCTACCAGGCTAATCGCGTGAGAACCGGCTCAGCTCCCGTAGCGTAGACCGGAAAGTTATCCGTCGCAATATCCACAACATCTCCGGCGTCAGGCATCGTGTCTCCGCCAATTCACACTAGATCGAACAAACCCCGTAATACTTATAGTATAGCCGCGTCTTATATCCGCCAACATTCTCGTCTTTTCCCCACTATGTCAGAGGCCCAGTCGTCGTTCTCACGTTACTGTTCCGTCTTCATGGCTACGTCGGCCCCGGCGCGGAGCGTAATTATGCCTAACCGCCGATGCTGTCGAAGATTCGCGCATTCGGTTCTCCGTATCTTATGGACCTTGGAAGTCTGACTGGATGGATTTTTATGAAAGATGGCTCAAAGCCCAAGCCTGATGTTGTAGGTTAAGAAAATAGAAGTAAAATCTTGACACCTTTGGTCCCAAACAGTTTTGACTGTAAGAGTTGACTTAGTGACTGACACGTCGTGTCCCTGCGCAGACACATCTTTTCGGGCGGTTCTCCTACAGCCACTTACATCACGAACAAAGACATACAAAATGACGATAGAAGGCACAACTAAATCAAAACGAAACCGCATTATTGTCGCTCTCACAGGCGCGACTGGAGCTATACTTGGAATCAAGACCCTCGTCGCTCTCCGACGGCTCAACGTCGAGACACACCTCATCATGACCAAGTGGGCTGAGAGCACCCTCAAGCACGAGACAGACTACACCCCGGCGGCCGTCCGCGCGCTTGCGGATCACGTCCATAACAACAGCGACATGGCAGCCCCGATTGCAAGCGGCTCGTTCCGAGTAGACGGTATGGTCGTGGTTCCTTGTAGCATGCGGACGTTAGCCGCAGTACGCGCGGGGTTATGCGACTCGCTCGTCGCTCGCGCGGCTGACGTGGTGATTAAAGAGCGCCGGACGCTTGTACTCGCTGCACGGGAGTGCCCCCTGAGCGGGATTCACCTCGACAACATGCTCTCATTGACACGGAACGGGGTCATTATCTTTCCGCCGGTGCCCGCGTTCTATCCGCGCCCTGCGGCAGTGGACGACATCGTTGAGCATAGTGTTGGTCGGATGCTAGATCTATTTGACCTAGATACGGGAGGGTTTGAGCGATGGGGAGGTTTCCAAAGAGATTAATGGGTTCCGTATCTGAAAATCAGGAAAAGCTGTTGCGAAATTAGCTCGGTCCTTGGGAGTTGGCTGTATGTGTGGATGTTCACAAAATCGAAAAGGATTGGTTTGGCCGAGCAGTTGAAGAGACTAGGGACTGCAACTTTACTAGAGACATGAATAAGATGGTGCTCAGGATGCAAGCCAAATTGACTGCAACCTGCGCGGACTCAGGGTACTCTGAGTCCTCTCAGGGAGCTGAGAGGCCCATTCTAAGACATTGACGTTGGTTTCGCTCTTTTTATCGTCGGTTAACGTCGGAAGGGTGAGGCGACTTTGGCCTGTCCAGTTAGCAGTCAGTCGGGAGGCGTTGCAATGGACGGATTAGGCTCCTTTGCTACCCCTGGTTCTAGACTATATCGGACGTGATGAAGTTCTACTGTGTCGGAAGGTAATTAATATTGTGCGGGGATTCAACTGCTTTTCTAATCGCTCAACTTCTTCTCGCTCGTTCTGCTAGACTTAGTGTTGATATTAATTAATACGTATGGTCCTACATGTCTCCATAATGTCTGATTACCACCGTAGGGAAGTCTTCAGAACTTGGCAATGGTGTTTCGGTCTGTTAACGGACAAAGTCGAAGCCTACTGTCGATTGCTTGTTTTGGCTATATTGGATTGAACCGCGTTAGGGATTCTACATATTACTTGAATTGGGTCTCGACACTCGACAGTAGTACCCGGCCCCGGTGTTGCTTGAAAGACTATGCCACAGAATTTGAGCGTAGGTAACGATTTCTCTGTACACTTCAATATTAGTTAATAAGATCTAGAGATAAATAGTAGAAGGTTAATCGCGAAACTCCGCATATGGTCATTTGGCTACATTCAAGAAAGTACGTGATTTTCACGAGGTTGTAAGAAGTTGGGATAGTACCCGATGTAGCATTGAATAGGTTCTCAGTAATACTGTTGGAGCTTTAAAGCCATGTCAACGACCTTTGGAGTGACAATTGGAGGACTTGGCCTCAGCCTTGGGTCTCAAAGGCTACCTTAGAGAGCCCGAGGACAAGCTGAAGGGAAGAGAGAGTTTAGATTCGTTGGAGCTAGGTAGCAAGCATTCATTCAATTACGCTTGTGGGGAAGATAGTGAAACACCCCTTACTAAATAACCCACGGTGTGGCCTGGCACAGCCACTTAGCTGATCGTTGTGGTACAAGTCTTGCAGTATCAGGTAACCGATGGCCAGCCGGAAGGTAGTCAAATTCATATCAAGGATCGAAAAGTCCGCGAGTGAGTGATTATATTAAAATTTTGCGTTTGAGCTGCTCGGTACAATCCCTTATCTGGATACTACAGCTCGTCATGGGCTTCGCCCTGGCTAGATACACTGACTCCATGACTTCCACTCTGTGAAATAAAAGCATCCAGCTCTTCCACTGTCAACATGTCAGTGAAGTCGCCCTGGAAAGGTACAATGTCGTTCGAACCGGCGCGATATAGCCTGATTGATGGATACGATGCTATCTCGATTGGGACATCGTTCGCGTCGACATCAATACTTGCCAGCGCGACTTTGTCCGACAGCCCAAACTTGGTGTATTTTAAACCAAGCTCATTCATTGGAGTATGCAGACTGTTTGGCTTGTTAGTACTGCATTCGATGGCGTACAGATATGATTAACTTACTCAGTACAATATTGACACCACGGCACGTAGAACTCAACCAAGACATCTTTAGACTTGTCATAAGCTAGGTCGTCAAAAGTACTGCCAACTAGCGTTGTCAAGAATTGGTGCGCTGTCGACGCTCCAGGCACTGGTTCTGACTTGATGGTAGGTAACAATGAACCGGCCAGGTAAGCAAAAACATGTTTAGCGACCCTGTTGGCGTTGAACACCTTTTCAGACATAGGATATGCTCTCCCTTGTTGATTTGCGATGGAGAATCCACGCTTGATGTCCTTGCTAAGATGCATTTGCTCACATCTTTTGGGGTAATCTGGCGCAAACACCGTCACGAAGGTGAGTTGATCTTTGTACTTCTTTGCAATAGAAGCCAGTGACTTGACGATCTCCGCCCAATCATCCCGCCTGCTGAAGAATATTTGGGCCAATGGTTTCTCATCCTTGAACGGTTAGTCCCTCTCAAACATCAAGGGAAGAAGGACCTACCTTTATTGCTTCTTCATGAACGATGGGATCGTATTCGCGAATTAGCGGTTGGGCTGCATCCTGCAAGAAGGCCTCGACAGCTGCGACGGTGAAAGGCCCGCGGTGATAAACTGGATCCTCTTCCTCTTGGGTATAGACCGCGATGGAAGGGCCCTTCCTGTCTTTCTCTGGGCTATAAACATTACCAAAACTGTAATGCGCTCGCCACTTAGTAGCAACAGCGTGAAAGATCTTGAGCTCAGGTTGATGATCCGAACCAATAAAGGCAACAACTGTGACTCGAGATGAGCGCGCGAAATGGAGATGGTTCTTTTCGGTGAGCTCCGTAACTGGAGAACCTGATTGCCGTTCGATATATTTTACAACCCTGCAACGATGATCAGTGATCTACAAGCCATCTTAGAGAAATCGACAAAACTCACGATGACGCGTCTAAAGCTTCTTTGTATGTAATCAACTCCTGGTTGCCGGTTGTAAACTTCAATGTGGGGACCGTAAAGACCTGAGAGTCATCGCACACAGTCGGCTCCTCGTTGCAGTTGACAGAAGCAATAGCGGTCTTGGTGAACGTTGGAGACACCCTGTCCAGCACTCCTTGCACTCTGTCACATTCCTTGCAACCGTCCGCTGTGAACAAGATAAGCGCTGGTCTTGAAGATATCAAGACAGTGAATTCTGTTCCAAGGAGTTTGACGCATTGTGTCGGGACAGCAAGAGCAACGAGTGATAGGATTGTTGGGGATCGCATGATAGTGTGTAGAAGAGACAAGAGAATCAATTTCCAGACTGGAGGGCAGACCCAGATCATTCCTGTTTGAAGAATCTATTATACCAACAGTTGTTCGGTATCATAAACTCTCCACTCCCCAATTTAGCCCGTTTCAGCCCAGATCGTCATTCCGCTAGCTTATCATAGGACCTAATCTCGTCTAGCCATTCTTTAATTTCAGCTCCTCTCCTCAAAAAGCTTAGTTCATCTTAACTGTCGAAGGCCTCTGCGCCGCGATATTGGCCAAGCCGCCGCTGAGGCACAGACGAACACTGCCAATTCTAGAATGTTTTCCCGAATCGAATGTGATGGATCCCTCGCCAATAGAAACAGTAAGATACCCTAAAGTTTAAACAGACATTTCGCAATTACGATTGGTTCCTCGAGTCTCTATCTATCAGCTCCACAGAAGGCCTAAACCTTATGGATAATAAACAAAGATATGCGGCGACTAGTCGACGTTGAAACCTGAGTTGTGGAAATATTTTGAGGTTGGGGCCACGAGCTTTGATAACATATAGTGGGTGCTGACTCGCTGAGAGAATGATTTTTTTTCTCTCTGTTCCGATTGATTATACT